GGGCCCATAAGCAAGTTTGAATTTTCAGAAAGATTGTTAACATTTATTTCATCTAGATAAGGGATAATTACACATTGTTCCTCATGTTTATTGAAGTTTTAGAAAGTTTTGTTATTATCTCATACAAATTTGCCAGTTCTGCAATTTATCTTATTCTGACAAGTTTATAGCAGCATAAATTGGAAAAATTTTCATGCTCTCACAGCAGTTCTTGCATTAACCCGTGCATTAGTAAAATCACAGTTTCATACCAAGCCAAAAAGCTTGCAGTGGGACATTGCAACATGCAGGGAGGACTAACAGGTATGCCAAAATGTCTTGAAATCCAAGATCTAATCTGGAAAGAGAAATTAGATGTTTTATGCCTGAATGAAACAAATCTTAAGTCGGATATTGACTCAGCCAGTCTAAACCTACCCAAGAATTTTACTTTTATCCGCAAAGACCGTCCTAACGACAATGGTCATGGGGGATGTGGCATTCTCATCAGTGAGCACATAAAGTTTAAAATGATTCAACTAAACTTAGTTTTGCAATATGACCAAATCGAGGCTATTTGGATCCATCTTACAGATTGCAATATTTTCATCTGCTGTTTCTACAGATCTGAGTTGTTTAGTCCTCTTGACAAATTTTTAGATTATATGACAGACTGCATGATGAGTATAGGAAGTAAGAATGTTATTTGGCTGGGTGATGTAAATGTAGACCAAAACAACATCAGCAGTATGAACTATAAGAAATTAGACATTACAATGAAAATGTTTGGAATGGTACAGGTAGTTCAGGATATTACCCGCATTACAACTAGGAAACAGAATCACAAAGACCACAATCGATGTTGTCATAACAAACACTTACTCCAAGTTTCTTGACTGCAAAGTCCTTGATGATTGTATAGGAGATCATCAGGTCGTAAAGTTCATTGTCGATTTCAATGTGCATAAGGCCTCAAAATTCAAGAAGTTACTAATAAGAGATCACAGCAAAATGAATGTTACTGCTCTTAAAGAATTTTTGGAAACCTGTGATTATAGACCAATAATAGATTCAACTAGTCTGAATGATGCAGTTGATGGTTTAAACGAACATATTGATCACTACTATGATCACTTCTGTCCAATTAAACAAATTAAGTGCCATAGTGATTACATCCATAAGCCATCTCCAGAATTTTTAGAAAGTAAGAAATTGAAAGGGAAACTTTACCGTAAATTTTTAACACACAACAAGAACAGACGTATACATCCAAATGGTCTTATACACTGTAATAAATGTGACTCATTATGGATGGCATATAAACGGCAGAGAAACTATTCAACCTATTTGTCTAGAATTAATAGGAAGACTAACTTAGCAATAGAACTGAAAGCCAAGTGTGCCATGAATGATCTAAAGGGTGTATGGAAAACGATAAAGACAGCATCAAATCTGCCTGTTAAAGCTAACAATATCAATAACAATCTTGATGCTGAAACCACCAATAAATATTTTGCTGAAATAGGTCCAAAGATCCAAGCAGAAGTGCAGCTGGAAAATGAAAATGAATTTCTATCTTATCTACAAAATGAGCAGATTGACAACGAGACCAGCTTGAATAGCTTTACTGAAATAACTGAGTCCAATATCTTAGACTATGTGGCAAGTATCCCTTGTAGCAAATCCACTAATGATCATATACCATTGAGAGTGTTTAGACAAATTTTACCTGCATTTATTGCTCCATTAACACATCTTGTAAATTTGAGTTTATCCAGTGGCATCATGCCAAACAGCTGCAAGGTTGCAAAAGTCACCCCAATCCATAAGGATGGTGATACTGAGAATCCTAGTAATTATCGACCAATCTCAATTTTACCGATTCTTGGAAAGTGCATCGAATTTTGTGTGAACTCCCAACTGACTCAATATCTTGATGAAAAGGGAATACTTTCAGAGCATCAATATGGTTTCCGTAAAGATCACTCTACAACTTATCTCATGTTAGATCTGTTTGATCGTATATTTACTGCTAAGAACAGTGCCAAGCATCCTGCAATTATCTTCCTGGACATCAGAAAGGCATTTGATACTGTTAACCATGATATTCTCATTCAAAAGCTGAAGCATTATGGAATAAAAGATACTGCATTGAGCTGGTTTAGGAGCTTCCTCACAGATAGATTACAGCAAACTAGAGTTGGGAGTAGGATAAGCAGTTTACATTCATTGAACTCTGGAGTGCCTCAAGGAAGTATATTAGGACCAATTCTATTCAGCATTTTTATCAATGACCTGCCTAATGCATGCCTATTTTCTAAACCTTATCTATTTGCTGATGACGGTGCATTATATTTTGACAATATATCTAGAGGAAACTATGGTAACATCAAACAAGAGTTGAAATTAGTTATCAGATGGCTTCAGGCTAATAAACTATCCCTGAATAATGAAAAAACAAAACTAATGATCCTTGACTCTAAGCCTAACCTTGATGCCATCCTTGTTGAAATTTGTGATGACCTTACTTTGGTAATCTGTGAAACTAAATCCCATAAGTACCTTGGACTTATAGTTGACAGCAGATTGACATTTAATGAACATATTGATAACATTAAGAAAAAGATATCCAAAAGAATTGGTGCTATGTATAGATCAAAAAAACTTCTCCCTCTTAAGTTCAGGAAGATGTTTGCTAATGCACTTATGTTGCCACATTTTGACTACTTAGACACCATCTGGTCAAGAACATATAAAAAACGACTAGGAGAGTTAGATATCATGTACAAAAAGGTTGCTAAAATAGCCCTAGATGTAAACATCAGAGAGAGGTCGGTTAATGTATACAAAAATATGGGATGGCTTCCTCTCCATTTGAGACGACAGGTTCATCTTAGCTCATATATGTACCGTATAATCAATGAAACATGTCCAAAGCATTTTATCGGGAAATTCTCGTATATTTCTGGTGGATCACGTGAGGCAGAAAACTGCAATCTTTATACTCCTAAATCAAGATCTCACAAGGAGTTTAACTATCTAGGAACTAAGGCCTGGAACATATTACCAAAGTCCCTTAGAGAGTGTGACGACGTTAAGAAATTTTCTAAGTTATACAAAGAAACTCTTATGAATATGGTGCTAACTGATGAGAATTACCAAGGGGATAACTCTTACGATAAATTCATGATCCCACCCAACACTAGCCAATGTATCTAGGCAGTTATGTTATTTCGGTTAAGTTATCTCAGTACATAAGTGAATCCAATCTATCCCCTGCAATCAAAGTATTTCCATGCCTATTAAGCTATTACAGGAAATTAGGAACATCAGTGGAAAGGTGCACTGTCAATCATTATTGCTCCATACCTCCAGTCCTCCTGTTATGTGCAATTCTCACTGCTATGTATGCTCCTCATTTGTATCAATTATATTGATGCTACATTGTTATTGAATATGAAATAATTTTCAACCGTATAAATTTATTAAGTTATTGTAAATAGCAAGTTTGACAAAGGGATTACGTTTATTTTACCCGGAGTTCGTTTAAGTTTAGTATTGTAAATAGTTAATTTGACGAAGGGAATACGTCTATTTTACCCTGAGTTATGTTTTAGTTCAATCTTGACACAATTTTAAAATTATAATTTAATTATTTTATATATATGTATTGTCCATAACTAGGGTGGCCTGCTAACAGAACCATGATCTGCCTTGATTCATCCTTCAGCACAGAGAAAAGCTCCCTTTTTTTATACATTATGATTACAGAGGATCTGATATTTAGATATATATTGCTGTGCTGTAAAAATTGACTTTATTTATTTATTTATTTTATAGCCCTGAGGATCAATTGGTACAATGTGTATTGAGGTAAATTGTAGGGTGGCGGATTTTGTATCGAATTTTCGAATCAAATACCGTTGTAATGTTTATTTAAAATAAATAAGGATGGTGGAAGTCTTTTCGAAAATGGACTTGACCGAACTAAGAGAATGGCTAATAAACAAACCAATAATTGTCGCTGATCCAATCTATAAGTGAGCCGGTCCATTGCTCCAACGATCGTTTCTAATTGACCTGCCAAGCCTTAGGGGCGCACCGTTGTTCCTGTGATCATGTACGCAAAATATATCAACTGAGGTCACGTGATGGAGCCAGGAGCCCCTAGCGGCCTAATTACCGGTTTACACATACAACCAAGTAAGAACGTTCGCGTTTGAATCTTGAGTTAAATGGTTGGTTTACTATATGTTAAGTATAATATACTCTTCAGCCTACACTCTACACCTTAAGACATCAGCGGGACGTCAGCCTTTCCTGCTATAATTATGCGGAAGATTAATTGCCAGAAAACCGAAAGTTTACAACGAGAAATATTATACAACTTTGATAGATGTTGGTAATGATAGATGTAATTATACAATTAACTACAAGTAAACTTAAACCTCAACGAAGCAATTCATCTCTCGTAACAATCAAGCGGCTTTCTCAAGGTACCCTCGTGGTTCTCAAGCGGTATTCTCAAGAAACTCTTGTGGCATTCTAGCGGCACTCAAGCGGCTTTATCAAGGCACTCTCGTGACATTCAAGCGCCATTCTCAAGAGTGCCTTGAAAATTCTGCTTGAGTGCCACGAGAGTGCCTTGAGGATGCCGCTTGAGTGGCACGAGAGTGTCACGAGAATGCCACGACAGTACCACGAGAGTACAGTGCCACGAGATTTCCACGAGAGTTCCACGCGAGAGTGCCACGAGATTTCCACGAGAGTTCCACGCGAGAGTGCCACGAGATTTCCACGAGAGTTCCACGAGAGTGCCTTGATAAAGCCGCTAGAGTGCCGCTAGAATGCCACAAGAGTGCCTTGAAAATGCCGCTTGACTGGTACGAGAGTGCCTTCATAAAGCCGCTAGAGTGCCACAAGAGTGCCTTGAAAATGCCGCTTGAGTGGTACGAGAGTGCCTTGAGGATGCTGCTTGAGTGCATTGAGAATGTTGCTTGAGTCACGTGAGTGCCACGAGAATGCCACGAAAGTGCCACAAGTGTGTTACGACAATGCCACGAGAGTTTTACGAGAGTGCCAAGAGAGTGCCACGAGAGTGCCACGAGAGTGCCACGAGAGTGCCACGAGAGTGCCACGAGAGTGCCACGAGAGTGCCACGAGAGTTCCACGAGAGTGCCACGAGAGTTCCACGAGAGTGCCACGAGAGTGCCACAAGTGTGTTACGACAATGCCACAAGTGTGTTACGACAATGCCACGAGAGTTCTACGAGAGTTCTACAAGAGTGCCACGAGAGTGCCACGAGAGTGCCACGACAGTGCCACGAGAGTGCCACGAGAGTGCCACGAGAGTGCCACGGGAGTGCCAAGAGAGTGCCACGAGAGTGCCACGAGAGTGCCACAAGTGTGTTACGACAATGCCACGAGAGTTCTACGAGAGGTCTACAAGAGTGCCACGAGAGTTCTACAAGAGTGCCACGAGAGTTCCACGAGAGTGCCACGAGAGTGCCACGAGTGTGCCACGAGAGTGCCACGAGTGTGCCACGAGAGTGCCACGAGAGTTCCACGAGAGTGCCACGAGAGTTCCACGAGAGTTCCACGAGAGTGCCACGAGTGTGCCACGAGAGTGCCACGAGAGTTCCACGAGAGTGCAACGAGAGTGCCATGAGTGTGCCACGAGAGTGCCACGAGAGTGCCACGAGAGTTCCACGAGAGTTCCACGAGAGTGCAACGAGAGTGCCATGAGAGTGTCACGTGAGTGCCACGAGAGTGTCACGTGAGTGCCACGAGAGTGCCACGAGAGTGCCACGAGAGTGTCACGTGAGTGCCACGAGAGTGCCACGAGAGTGCCACGAGAGTGTCACGTGAGTGCCACGAGAGTGTGACGAGAGTGCCACGAGAATAGCGCTTGAGTGGCACGAGAGTGCCTTGATGATGCCATTTGATTGGCACGAGAGTGCTTTGAGAATGCCGATAGAGTGCCACGAGAGTGGCACGAGAGTACCTTGAGAATGCCGCTTGATTGTCACGAGAGTGCCTTGAGAATGCCGCTTGAGTGCCACGAGAGTGCCTTGAGAATGCCGCTTGAGTGGTACGAGAGTGCCTTGATAAAGCCGCTAGAGTGCCACAAGAGTGCCTTGAGACTGCCGCTTGAGTGCCACGAGAGTGCCTTGAAAATGCCGCTTGAGTGGCACGAGAGTGCCTTGAGGATGCCGCTTGAGTGCCTTGCGAATGTTGCTTGAGTGCCACGTGAGTGCCACGAGAGTGCCTTGAGAATGCCACGAGAGTTCCACGAGAGTGTAACGAGAGTGCCACGAGAGTGCCACGAGAGTGCCACGAGTGTGCCACGAGAGTGCCACGAGAGTTCCACGAGAGTGTGACGAGAGTGCCACGAGAATAGCGCTTGAGTGGCACGAGAGTGCCTTGATGATGCCATTTGAGTGGCACGAGAGTGCTTTGAGAATGCCGCTTGAGTACCACGAGAATGCTTTGAGAATGCCGCTTGAGTGCCACGAGAGTGCTTTGAGAATGCCGCTTGAGTCTCACGAGAGATGAATTGCTTCGTCGAGATTTACGTGTACGTCTTGTAGTTAATTGTATAATTATATCTATTATTACCAACATCTATCAAAGTTGTATAATATTTCTCGTTGTAAACTTTCGGTTTTCTGGCAATTGATCTTCTGCATAATTATAGCAGGAAAGGCTGATGTCCCGCTGATGTCTTTATATTAGGTGTAGAGTGTACGCTGAAGAGTATATTATTATACTTAACATATAGTGAACCAACCATTTAACTCAAGATTCAAACGCGAACGCGAACGCGAACGTTCGTACGTGGTTGAATGTGTAAACCGGTAATTAGGCCGCTAGGCGGAGATTGTACATAAAATAATTATAGTCACACTGTTCGGAGATTGTAAAATGTCTGACCGAGAATTAGGTTTAAAATACTCTAAGGTGAACCTTTCTCCGAGATCTGGTTTTAAAACGGTACGAGATAAATTTCTGCGGTAAATTGTAAACTTGGGCTTCTAGCATCCAACTATGAACTAAAGTCCGTTTAAATAAAGTCCAACAAGGTAGTATGTAGTATTATTGATTATATTAAATGTACAACTACAAGCTACAATTTGCTCAGGGTTAACATCTAATATTTTGGTCTTTCACTGTTCCAACAGCTAAGGAAAGCTATTGAATGTTTCAGTGTAAATACTGATATTATATAATAAAACATACCCCGACCAATTTACCTCAATACACATTGTACCAATTGATCCTCAGGGCTATAAGTTAGTTAAAGGTGTTATCACGTGATCTCGGTCACATGACTGCTAGTAAGACGCACCTTAGCTGCTTGAAGGGGGCAATTAGAATACTGAACTCACACAGTTGCACATATGCTCAATACTGGATCACCGACCACATTTCTTAATATGGTTAAATTGGTCATAGATATTATTGTTTATTATTGTTATTTCCAGAACAATGACAGGTCTATTTTCGATAAAACTTTCGCATCTGAACTGTCATAATGTAAGCTTTACAACGGTACCAATTCCATAAATACGATTAAAAAACCATCCACCCTATTGAATATTGCCTTAAACTTAATCCTGGAAAAATACAAATAATTATCATCGCCTCACCTCATTCCTCGAGCTCCAAACCAGCTCAGTATAGGGGGAGTTAATTTATTAACTATATAAACCATACACAGTTTGTTCAAACACACATGTTTATTGGAAATGTTCAAAATCAATAAATTAGAATCCCCAGTCCCACTCCTAAATCTATTTCACAGATCATCAAGACGTGCTGATCGATTCATCACTCCAACCCCATCCACCTCCTTCATATATCAATCGACAAAAATGTGGAACGATTGTAGAAACACTGCTAGCAATATCAACTTCTCTACATCAACGAACCTTGTAAAATCCACAATAAAAAAGGAGTTACTCGGCATGCAGTCCAGGTACGACGAAATAGATTGGTGTGAACTGAACTTCGATTCCAACGAACTGAAATTCTAACGTCTACTCAATGAAGATATGCTGAGCGCTAAAGCCGATTGAAATGTTAATGTCTAAAGTATAAAATTTTGGCGGTCACGCCGCGCATTTTGCGCGCTGTGCCGCTATTTTTGGCCCATCTTATCAGATATTATTTACAATGTACTCGCACAGTACACGCAGGGCATGCCTCAAGATCATATTAGTGTAGGAATCATTATGTTTTCAACAATTCATTATATGTCGAATTCAGCAGTGGGTCCTCTCTTCGTCCGGTTTGTGTGTTTGTCGCCTGTCTGGACTCTCGTAGTCATGTAATTTTTAATTTTTAATTTCTAATTTGTTATTTTTATTTTTATTTTAATTTTTCAATTTTCTAAATGTGTGTTCTGCTCCGGGACTCGATTACCGTTTCGGCTTTCCTGAGACTGTAAATTTGGAAAGCCAACTATGCGGGGCGCCTGCCCACCGGCACTGAAGAGTGATCAAAGAATTAACTAAAATTTCCTAATATAACGATTGAATATAGAGTTGTTTAACCGGCGCGGCCATGGGTGTGTGGCCTAGCTTTGGCTGCACACATATGACTGCGCTGTTGCTGGTGGACAGGCGCAGTTTTTGTTGTGCAGTAGTGTTGCAAGAGAATAAAACCAACTTATTATGTACTAAATGGAATCAAGAATATTATTGACTATATTTGATAACGATGAATTGTAAATTTCGATCAATTTATATTTTCGGTCTCCAATTATTGAACTGCGGAAGCTGGTTGCCTCAACAATGTTGACTATGCATGGTATGACTGAATTGTAAACACGTGATAATTGAACGAAAAATAAATGATGAACATGATTCAAAAACTGTAAACCACAAAATGAATTATCGCTTAAATTTAAATAAGTATTTAAACAAAAACCATCATGTGCCGTTAAGCAGCAGGGCGCGGCTCATCTGGGCCTCAGCAAATCGGCGAAAATGGGTTCGAAAAAGCCACTATTGGCACTCGAGTCCTTGATCTTTCCGATGGTTCACTGGGGCTTTTGAGCTGCCGTCTTTCAGCTTCTGTAAACTGAAATTACTACCAATCCAAGTTGAGGCAATCAGCCGACGCGCGGCTTTTATGGTTATATATGATATGTTTAATCTGTAATAAAGATCACAATTCAAATTTGTTTCTCTAAATTTGTTTCTCTATCAAATGATACCTAAATATTGAGCCCTTTGGCTAGAGAATACTTTTTTAAAAGATATTTTGGACAGTTTTTAATATTGGTTATGATAATGAATTGTAATTGATTCATATGTAATATTTAGGCCCGTGGCCAGTTTTCACCTGTATCAGATTTGTTAGCACAACGAAGAACCTTGGTGTCCAAATTGACCATCATCTTCCGTTTGAGCCTTAGACTTCTTAGGAATGTAATTAGGAGAAAATATCTCTTTAGCAAAGCTCAGCTGAAATTTTGTTTTACTTATTATTAACAGCATCATCGTCTGCAAATTGGACTACTGCCATGCAATGCTCTTTAATATTATGGATTAGTGACGACCTCATCCACCAACTTCAAATCGTTCAGAATTCTGCTGCTAAAGTAGAACTATATAAATATGATCATCTAGTAGACACTCTGAAAGATCTTCATTGGCTGCCTATTAGTTACAGAATTCATTATAAGTTATTGTTTCTTGTCTATAAATGTCTTCATGGTATGGGACTAGGTAAATGGTCCATTGTTACCGATATTTTGAACTATAAACAATCACATGTACACACACAATTCTCAAAACGCATGATCTTCTTGTGCCCACATAGAGCAATAAGAGTTGTTCTCAACATTGGAAATCTTATCCTCGTCCTCAGTATGCCTTACCACATCACAATATCTCTCCTTTTTCTTTCTGGCTATGAGACCAGCTAGTCTGTTGATAAACTGCTTCACTCTTTAGATAGTCCTTCAGATGTGAGAAATACCCCCGGGTGAAGGTTGCCTTCTCCACATTCAACACTCTCCAAGTACTCATCCTTCTTCTCATTCTCATTCCATTTCGTACACTTGAAGAGTATTTGTCCTGTTTGATAAGAAATTGGGGCATGAAACCCTAAGGTTAAGAAAGTTCTTATGAAATGGAGTCCAAACTTCACTAGCAGATACATCGAGCCGACCTTGGTCACCTGTTATAGTCTTGGGGTTGAGACATCCACCCTCGTTTACTTTCTGTAGCTGGTGTTCAACTTTCATATCATGACATACCTGTAGTTTAGTGGAGATCTTAAGTGGCTCAGTGGCTTAGTTGGTTAATCTGCTTGTCTAATGTCTACTGGCCCTGATGTTGCGAGTTTGAATCCAAGTTGGGCCAAGATTTCAAAATTGATGGGCAGCCGTCACTCACTAAACCATGGTGTGAATGATAGTGGCTCTGATTAGAGCTGCGAAAATAACACGAGTGCATATGCCTGGGGTTGCGTCACGACTATGCTGCAGGGAAATCTGTACCGAAAGGACCGTGGCCGCACCGCAAAATAAAAGGAGATCGGCCCCTCGATCGTAGCGTGCTAGGTTCGCCATTGTTGTTGTTGTTGTAATGGAGATCCATTAAACTACTTGAGAGTGTTACAGTGCAGACGTCTGTAGTAGCCTCTGCTGCTAAATTGTCTTCTTCAAACTCAATTTAACGAGTTCCTACTCGGCAGAGCTACGCACAAAGAAAGGACTATTTTTTTTGAGAAAAGACAAAAAGACAAAAAACGATGTGTGTTTCAATTGGATTGAATAGTCTCTCCTAACAAGCCAGCATGGTGCATCCCTTAGCAAGCATATAAGAAGGCAGGGCTATACATCCCATTTTGAACTGCAGGGGGGGGGGGTCTTGCAAGCGGGCCTTGCAAGCCAATATGTCATGGTTTTTGCCCAAAAATTTAACCCACCCCCATCTTTATTACAATTCGAAACTTGATAATGATTGGTTGTCTGTTTGTCCGCCCACATTCAAATTAGGTGAAAAGTGCATGTTTATGCAACTTCCTATTTCTCATCCAATTTGCACCTGGGCGGTCATACATACAAAGAGAAACTTTTGAATTATAAGTTAGATTGCAGTGTATACTTTATCCAATGAACAAGCAATCAAACTTAATCTTATCATTTCCTTGAGTTATTTTATAACATATCTTTTATTCTCATCTCCTTTATTGATAGATAGGCAATATGGAAGATCCTGTAGTGCAAGCTGCTGAGGAGATACTTGAGAAAGTAGAAGATGTGCTACCTGAGGTAAAACTTCTATCTTCATTTGAATTAATAATTGTAATTTCCATCTATTGCCATTTTAACAAAGGCAATAGTGGTGGTGATTAGTGGGGAAGAAGGGTTCCGGTTAGTATGTATAATTAGGTATTTTTGGTATGTATAATTAGGTCATTGTGGTATGTATAATTAGGTATTTGTGGTATGTATAATTAGGTATTTGTGGTAATGTGGTATGTATATTGTTTAATTAGGTATTTGTGTCTTGTCTAATAATTGTACTTTTGTCCAAAACACACACAAGAACTTGTCAACGAAATGAAATGTTATGTGGCGTTTTATTCTGCTTATATCAACAATCAAAATTAATTTACAGATTGCTGGTGTCACTGTGTTAAAATAGAATCCAAAAACTAGTATCACACACGGTAAACACTCCTGTCTATAATTTATTATTGTATATTACTCACTCTACTAGAGCAATTACTTTCTCCCTTTGAACAATCAAACTAGATAATTTGTTGCATATAGTGGACCAATCTGTCAATTTACAAGCTGTCGTCAAACATGTTTCAAGGCGTCATCTTCAGTGGCATTAGCCTAAAATACCAAAATGTTAGTAAAACCCAAAATACCTAGAATAAAGAGTAATATATTACTGCAAGTGAATATTCTGCAGGGCATCGAAATTCCGAGTAAGTATCCCAAACTACTCCGACGCTTTCATAATAATGTGCTGTTGTTGTGTGTTAATTTGTCTATTCTTATTATAACTCCAACTCACCTAAATTAGTTTTAATAATGTAAACATAGTACCCACTTACCAAGAATTGCAGACACAATTCTCATGAAAGAAAAAGTAATTCCAGCCATTCAATTTTAAGATTCTACAAGTTTATCAAATAGAAGAAAATGTAGTCTGTAGTGTGAACTTGTTTTGGTTTCAGTATCTTTACTGATGTGGTGCAGATCTCTAATATTCAATAATTTCAGGCAGTGAAGAACATAACTGGCCGAGCAGTCGCAACTACAGAAGGCCTGGCCCTGGCCTATGTCAGCCTTTTCCTTATGGCTGTCATCCCCATTTTCTGGGGCTCTTACAGGTCCATCACCTACCATAAGAAATCAAAGGTGATTATATGTTATATTCGTCATATAATATATTTCTGTAGAAATTCATAGTTATTTTTGGGAAGAAGGACATTTAATTCCTAGTCCCTTTCTGTTTTCAATTTGGTTACTATAATGTTTGATTTAGGTTATTGTATTAAACAGGATAGGAATACATTAATGTAGTTAGTCCGAACAACTAAGAGTTTAAATTTGGAGACAATGGTCGAGAAACTTCGCGTCCCTGACATTGTTTGAACCGTTTGGTAGACTTAGTCTTCTCGACATGTTTCTTGGGAAAAATTTTTATTGATCCCATTTGTTGCGACATAAAAAAGGCTCTTAAAATGCGGCTCTACAGTTTAATAATGAGAGTGTTTCAGGAAAATGGGGAAGCTATAGAGACCATGACCACAAAGGATGTATACATGTTCCCAATAATGGCTAGCAGCATGTTGTTCGGTCTTTATCTCATTGTCAAGGTAAGTCATTAGATTAGTCATTACATTGTTTTAATTGGATAGTTTATCATTAATTATCTGGGATTAATGAGCTCGTATTGTTTGTTTACTGAAGCAATAGACCGTTATAATATCAGAATGGCCATAGACTCAGCTCCTCTTAAGAACTTATAAGAGTCTTGATATGTTACAGTGTTACCGCGAATTCTAACCAAGACATGTTCATTTCAGTATCTGTCAGCTGATCACCTGAACCTAGTAGTAGCTTCTTACTTCTTCCTTGTTGGTTCCCTTGCTCAAACTGCTATATTACGGTAAGTTGGTGTTTCAGTATGTACATTGTGATAATAGACTGCCAAGACTGTAGGATTTTCAGTTCTAACTTTTATTTTTTAATTTCATAAATACCTTTACTCTAAAAAATTTCCTGGTAGCTTTTTATTTACTGTGTTCATTGTTCATTGCAGGCCGGTAGTAGGAATGATCCCCGGAAGTTCATTACTCCTAGAAAACGAGCTTTATCATCTCAAGTTTAACAAAGGAGCAAACGGTTAGTATTTAATAAGACGAATATAAAAACATGTTTAACATGCCAGTTGTTTTACAGATCACATGTGTGTGGGATAAGAAATATTGACAGTTTATAATAGAGCCTACAACTGAACAAAAAACCAACCATGTTTTAACTGCCAGCTAAATCAATTACATATCAACTTCTGACCTGATTAGTCTCCAGAAGCGCAAGTAGAATAATTAATAAATTCTAAATATGGTATGATCATTTTCAGTGTATCTGGAGTGCAAGTTTGACATGCTTCATGTTGTGTCCATGGCCCTCTCTGCTGCTTTCGGTGTCTGGTACCTCATGAAGAAGGTAAGAATAGTACGCAAATTATTTGATCATATTTGGGTTCTACGAAAGAAACATTTGATTTGGAGATTCTAAACACGTCGCGTTGCACCATGCCAGCTTCTCTAGTCACTCTGTGGCAACATGAGGGCCACGTAGGCTAGGCAGTTTCATCTGGCGCAATGGAAGACATTGCAAGGTAGCACGCTATTTTTCAGCGCGAACGACTGTTCATACTGCGCGCAGAGTAGACTTACGGTTTGTCGAATGCTAATGTTGCACAATAGCGAATGCTAATGTTGCACAATAGCTATGTGGCAACTAAAGTTATAAAAGCCACTAATATAATGCATAAGCTGTTAGCAAGGGGCTAATGGAATCATGAATGATGACTTGTTGATAATAGACAATAACAACAGGATATTGATGGGCATGTGAACCATATTTGTTATTACACGTGACAGTGATTTAGGAGACTTGATTGGTCGCTGCTGAAAGCAGATTATTTAATGGCTGTCACGTGTCAGAACAAATATGGTCCTCCGCCGTAGAACTCTAGAGGATTTATCCACTGCATACTTCGAGTTTCGTTTCCTCTTCAGCAATAAGTCTTTTACCATATTTGCTTCCAATAAATGAAAATAAATCACAGACGGATTTAACGGTTGGATAGAAGGCTGAACGGTTAAAATAAGTTTTTATAGTATATTTTTAGGGGTTGGTGTGCACAATAAACTATATGTGTTGATTTTCTTCAATCTCCATCTATGTTAAAATTTCATTCAAACTGTACATCTATATTAATAATCTCAAGATGTGTGTGTGTTCGTTCGTTCGCGTGTAATTTCCGAACGGCTTATTCAAGAAAACGGTAAGAGTTACGGGGCTGGTTTTTCGGTATAGTGCCGACAAAACTCTGACCAAGCCAAATGATTAAGGTTTTTTAAATCGGCCGGTGTTAAGTGGTTTAATTGATCATTTTGTTACCCAAATTGAATACTAAAGTGTCTCAGTACTCTCCCTCTCTCTCACACACTATCTCTCCCTAATTACAGTTCTCCTAATTACAGCTCTGGTATATAATGAAGTAATTTGGCAGTAGAGCCAGGAGCCACAAGATTGCCTATTAAGTATTATTATTGGATACGTGTTGGGCGCTCAGAATTAAATTTACTATAATGCGGCCGGTTTCGACTGGGCGAGTACATGCGGCAACTTGGTCGTTTAGCTCCGGACAGTCTATGCAACGTCTATGCAACGTCCATGCAACAACAAAAGAACCGTCTATGCAACGGTCGCGGTGCAAAGGTTTAAACGATGCAAAAGCAGTTGCTTTTGTTGTTGCATGGACGTTGCATAGACGTTGCATAGACTGTCCGGAGCTAAACGACCAAGTTGCCCAATTACCATATACGTGATACGTTCTCTTGCTCAGGTGGAAGTAAGAAATAATAATGTTTAATGGCATTCTTGCATTCTTAATTTTGTTTAATTCCCTTTAATTTGTCAGTGGAACGTCTAAGCTGACTACTTAATGTCTGTCGGAAAAGAAGGCGAGATTTTTAAAATTACTCGAATTTCTGTCGCTTACTTTGCATTTTTTACTTTTCAACATCAAAGGAACTTTAAATGTTATATGCATTTGTAGTGTATGACATTATAAAGAAAATAAGTTAAATAAAACGCCCTTTTTGTGAGGCACTGGGGAAGGTTTATTTTCGAAACCTATGATCTAAACTAATGACCTAACATCACAATGTATCGGCAATGCGCTGACTAAAGATCAGTGAGTAATGATTCGTTATCTAGACCAAACAGAATTAGATGAGTCCTGTACGGGGTCCCGTACTCATGGGTTTCATATATTATCGGCACCTTGTTCAGATTAAAATTGATAAATGATATCCCGCCCCTTAATTGAAAAATGTCGTCTGAATGGTCGCAAATTCGCTCAGGTTTGTAATACAAGATGAGTCACCTATTCGCCAACAATTTGCAAGCTTTGTAATCGTGGTACTTAACCTTATCATTCTCATGTCCTTAAATCTATCTGGATTATAAAAGTACTAGTGTAACCCGTGCCTACGGCCGGGACTTCACTATCGAAGTTGAAATGCAAAAGTATAAAGTATAAACCCGCCTATTATATTCGAAAACACGCATTACATTGTCGTATGAAAGTATGAACTCTGAACTCTCTCTACAGTCCAAACAGTCCGCAATGAGTCAACATCCCAAATTTAAACTATAAAGTGTGACTTCATATGCGAAATCGGGAAAAAACTAGCTAAATAATGGAAAAATCAAATAAATGGAATGGAAAATGCCCTCGAAAAGTCGAAAAATGTGACCAAAATTGTTGTAGACTAAAAATTTGCGAAATTTGTGACTAAAATTATGGTGACCAAAATTATGGTAACCAAATTTATTGTGAACCAAATTTGTTGGCCCTAAGGTAAACAACTTTCCACCGGCCGATTTAAAAACAAGAATTTCGCCGCAGTTAAACCACGCATGCTCATTTTTTCCGGCCCTACGATGCACTTGTACCATTAATTCTTTTGAGTGAAAAGTGTGACTGGAAAAAAAGTGCAACATATTTAGTATTTACACACTATGTTTTTTATAAATGAGTGGGATTCGTGCATGGTAAAAAATGACGATTTATTTGACCAATGTAGCGCCGCGCATCAACAATAAATGAATCTAGAAAATTGTGGAAAATAACTTTGCGAAGGAGGAACTTCACTGTAATTAATTAACACATGGCTAGCGTCGCGTGCAGCATAACAGATGCTTCCTATACACATAATTATAGGTTAGTGATCTATATTACGAAGGAGCAGACTTTTGTCGTCAACGTAGGACCGTCGGGCCACCTCATTATATATCCAAACCCGATTACTTATTCCCTACGATCTTTTTGCCTTCGGCAAGAGCAGGGAAAAAATTTGCTTATTGAGTTATTGGCTTCGTCAGAGTTTTGTCTAAACTATAGCGAAAAAACCTGTCCCATAACTAAACCGTTTTCTTGATTGAGCCGTTCGGAAATTACACGCGCACAGACAGACAAACAGACAGACACACATTTTGAGATTATTATTATTGATGGTGATTCCGAGGAGTCTCTAAATTTAAAGGAGCCTAAGAATCCAAAAATGTAATATTTTTGTAACACGCACAGGCCACAGGGTTACCACTTTTCTCAATCCAAGTAAAATTTAATCATTGTATTTTAATTCTACTATTATTATGTTTTAAAATTTCAGCACTGGCTTGCAAACAACATCTTTGGACTTGCATTCTCCGTCAACGGAATTGAAATGATTTCTCTCGGAAGGTTTGTTACACCCATTAACTCACTCTTGACCGGGGAACCTCCTGGCGTTTCGTCCTAGTTTTCCTTTCAACATTTATTATTTTTAAAAGAACCGCTTTTCAAATTGTTTTTCCTTTGAGAAAAATTAGACAGCAGCGTTGTGTTTTACCTTGTTAAGAAACTAAATCGATTGGTAAAGGGTGTTCCAAAAAGGCGATTAAGTTATTATTGCTCAGAACTATAGATCAGTTCAAGGAATTAATTTATTCACTACAGTCTACGTAGATTAAGACCTCCGAAGGCCTTGAAGAAATTATCAGACTTCTAGTTCTTTCGAAGAGAGCTGGGTCATATGGATATTTTAAAATGCGTGACATCGATACGCTTCTCTTTAACCTTTGGCCTCTGGCCCACTCAAATTGATTAATATGTTCTTTTTCCGGAAGAAACGAAAGTGCAAACTTTTGAGGAATATGTTAATCGATTTGAGACAGTCTTTTCCGGTTCATGTCCAAAAAGTGCGGGATTTTCCGGTTCATTTATCTATGATAGATTACATTAATAATTAATAATAATCAGTTTTAAGATTAAGAAAACACGACGGGCACTCCTGAAAACATAACTTCTAGAAAAAATATATCAAAAATAAAAATGAATTCAAATGAAGTAAAATGTGATAAATCATAACAAATGTAGCTATATCCTCGCTCTCAATGAGGAGTAGAACTACTAGAGATTGTTATGACAGCCTCAATACACTCGGATCCACTAACACTCTAGAGATCTTACATCAAACGCCTGATCGTCGAAAAAGTCACCAGACTAAATCAGGAAACCTGGTTATTGGTTAACTGATGCGATGGTCCCAGACACACCAAACTGACACTCGGTCACAAACACATCAACATCATCAAAAATCTTAACACTACACTCAGCAACAACAGACAAAATTACAGAACTGCAGTGCACCTCATCACAGGATATTGTGGCTTAAAGTGATGGTTATGATTTAAAAATTCACTTCCGCTAAATGGCTTAATTAACCACGTACACGAAGGAGTAGAGTATGCCAATCAACATCCAGGCACTTTTAAAACTTGAAACTCGTCAGAAATCGAATTACGCCCTCTCAAACATTCAGCTGATACGTCACCGCAAGGTCCCATACCGCGGGGCAGCATTAGAGCAGGCTGTAATCCTTGCAACAGTTTGTTGTTCCTACTTCCTACACAATTGATTTTTAACGTTTCTTGACCCGTTTTTGGTTTGCCCTGCAATTTTTCTAAATTAAAAACAGTTGCTAATTAATTATGTTGATCACTCTTCTTTTATAGCTAAAAGTTTTGTCGATAATGGTGCCTTTCTGACATTATGCCATCATCCTGCGTTGTTGGAGGTTGTAGTCACAAGGTGGGAGACTCCTCACAAAGACCTGGGAGGGAATTTCTAATCCTACATGCCGTACCAAAAAACGGGAAGATGAGGAGGACTGAGGAGTGAGGAGGAGGATGAGGACTGAGGAGGAGGAGGACTAAGGAGGAAGATGAAGAGGAGGACTGAGAAGGAGGGGGAGGAGGAGGAGGACTAAGGAGGGCTGAGGAGGATGGCTGAGGAGGATGACTGAGGAGGAGGAGGAGGAGGAGGAGGAGGAGGAGGAGGAGGAGGAGGAGGAGGAGGAGGAGGAGGAGGAGGAGGAGGAGGAGGAGGAGGAGGAGGAGGAGGAGGAGGAGGAGGAGGAGGAGGAGGAGGAGGAGGAGGAGGAGGAGGAGGAGGAGGAGGAGGAGGAGGAGGAGGAGGAGGAGGAGGAGGAGGAGGAGGAGGAGGAGGAGGAGGAGGAGGAGGAGGAGGAGGAGGAGGAGGAGGAGGAGGAGGAGGAGGAGGAGGAGGAGGAGGAGGAGGAGGAGGAGGAGGAGGAGGAGGAGGAAGCATCTAAATGTTATTTCAATTTTGTTATTTTTTGTCCGTTTTTGTCCGTTTTTGTCCGCTCTATTTTTTGTCCGTTTTGAAAATATAGGGTACCGAACGGACAAAAAACATGAGCTCCCCCCCCATAACAATAGTTAACTCATGCATATCAACCATTATAATGCGGAAATATGCGTGATTAACTCTCATTTTATGGGGCTAAACACTAATAAAACAATGGACCGACCCGCACTCGAGCCTCTGTAGAACTAAACCTTGTCGTGACGTAACAGAGTGATACTCTAAATGGAATTACGAGGATCAGGGAGTAAATCTGGGAGTGTAACTTTGCGTACGTGTTTAAAATGATGTTGTCTACCTATCAAGCATGAATTTAAGTAAAATAATTGCTAAAACCAAATCATAACCATCACTTTAAACAAACACGTCCATACCATTCGCAAATCAAGCAACAGTGCTTGTCCTATGTGCGGCGACGGAGAGGAGACTGTCTCACACTTTCTAGGACAGTGTCCGGCTATTGCCCAAATTAAAGAGGTCAATATGACAATATTTCCAGGACTATTAACTCTCCGTCAATGACATATTCGACAACCAACATATCTGGACACTATTGTCAACTTTGCAAACCGCACCAAACGCTTAATTGTGCCAGAGGAGCTGGACCAGACTGGTGGTACATAGTGACTACTCACTTGTCGTCTTAGTTCACCTTTCTCTTCCACACCCAGCTGCCACTTAAGCGTTCATACACGAAACATCTTACAACACTTACCATCATCCTAAATTACACATTTTGATTCCTCCGGCATCCTCCCATAGGACTGCCATACCCCAGAGGTAGGCAAAGCATCCACATGCTATCCTCTCGTGGGCCACCCAGGCCCAGCCTCTCTTAATAACAAATTTTATGAATAACAAATTTAATCGATGCCATATCAATCTAAGTTATTTCTAATACTTAATATTTTACTGGAGAAGTCTGAACTTGCACAAATTAACTGTGAGATGATTCAACAACAGTTTCATACCATCCAACAACAGCTTCATACGTGTTCAAACGGCGAGAGAACATACAATTTTAATCTAAGAACATCAATAATTCAACATTTAAATAATGAGTGGTTTCTAGATTTATAACTTCTGTGAATTTCTCTATGACATTGAGATCGGGCATTAGCAGTTCAAAATTCAGTATTTTAGAGGACAAATTTACAAACGAATGCGCATAGACGAAGAGTGAAAACTGTGTTTCGAAATCTTTCACCCCACACTAATCCAAGTTCCAACCGCTAGATCTAATTTGTCATTTTATAAAAGTTCAAGGAAGCCTTGAATTTTATTACAAGAGCTGATAATTCTTCTTTTCTCAGCGTGAAGAATGGTTGTATCTTACTCTCCCTCCTTTTCTTCTACGATATCTTCTGGGTAATTATAAATTACGGCTGAAGATATGATTTGATTTAATGATTAGATAATTTAATGTATTTGCAAAAATTCCAAAAGGTAATTGAAAATTATTGGATTAATTTGGCTAGGTGGCCGGGAAATTAAATTAAATTATATATTCATGGGATATCCATTTTGGCCTGGTATGTCGTTCAACTCATTCATCCGTATCCCGGAATAATTTCGTGAGCCCTGTATATTTCCTTTCAGGTTTTCGGGACTGAGGTTATGGTTGAGGTTGCCAAAAACCTGGACGCTCCTATTAAAGGTAAGTCTTTCAAAAGGTTTCCTTAAATTCCTTGCATATTTCCATAGTTTTTATCCGTGATGGAAAATTGATCAACAACTATTATGATATCATGAAACCTTAGCCCTGTGATGTTTCCTGATTTGGAACTAAGGGCTTCAAGAATAAATATAAGTATCTGACGGTATCCGTTTCATTCATTTACGCACAAGTCGTCAGACATTCTTGTCTACCACTCGCCTGCTGATTCCTAAAATAGCAGGAATGTTTATCTCCCCCACTCCTCAGTCGTGTTCCCAATGGACTTCATCGAGAAAGGGATATTCGGTGGAAACTTCGCAATGTTGGGTCTGGGTGATATTGTTCTACCTGGAGTGTTCATAGCCCTTCTTCTGAGATACGACGTCAGGTAAGCTTTAATTACCTATCGGAATTATAGATAAGTACCATTAGAGTCTGACCAAGACAGTTATTTTGCAGCCAGTTTTCGTATGTTTTTGCCGCTGACTTGCAACTAATTGGATTATTCATCCGAGATTAACTTCAAAAGAGAGAAAGGCAGCGAACTTTTAGGAATTTAATGGTTTCTAATAAATAGATTGTTGTCCGATGTAACTGTCCTGACGCAAACGCTTTCTTGAAACGAGCCCTAATTCTGCAAATATTTAGCAACATACCTACGTAAACTATAAGAAATGACGTAACTTGCAAATTAACAACCCAACATTCAAATATAAGATTCAAGTATTACAAAGCGCTGTAACATACTCCAGATCTAATATCGTGTGTTAAAAGTTGCCGTCAATACAGGTATTAGACTAGCAACTGTCATGTACTCCAGTACTGTCTACAGGGCTGGGCTACTAACAACAGTTCCAGTCTACGGACCGCTAGATATAAGCCACCCGTGTAATTAGAATGGCTACTTTGTGTCAATATTGGGGCGGATCTCATCGATTTATAGAAACATCAAATCTGATCGTACATAGAATATTATTCTGAATACGTTAGCGTGTAAAATAAACTCCGGGCGTTGGATTATTAAATACCTAAGAACAGGTTGTTTTAAAAGCTACGTGTCTTAAAACTGATCTGAAAAATCTGGTGGATTCGTGTAGTGTTATTTAGTCTCGTGATTTGATGTTTCTTTCATTAAAATTTCTGATTGTTTTCTGAATAAACTCAGTGAAGACAGATTCTAATGGAAATAAATAGCCGAAAAAGTACACCAAGATAATCGTTTGTCGACATTTTAATCTCGAAAGTTTGTATCAAAATGTCGAAATTCCACCCTGAAACTCGTTGGTTTAGACACGTCGCAAATGGCAATTAAAATGTTTGCTTGATAATTATCGTTATATTTCCCAATAACCCTGACCAGTAACCCCACCCTCCGCAGTAAGGGTGAAAACTCCAACCTGTACTTCTACGCGGGGTTTGCAGCCTACATCCTGGGGCTCGCGATTACCATTGGTATCTTGACGATCTTCAACGCAGCTCAACCTGCCCTGCTCTATCTCGTGCCTACCTGTGTTGGAATCCCCCTCCTTATCAGCCTTATTAAAGGTCAGTTCAGCTATTTTAATTTAACTTGCTGGTCATCAAGGGGGAGGGGGGACATGTTCCCCCCCCCCCCCCTTATCAATAATGTCAGTTCAATATTCACTATTGAACTGACTATTAGTGTGGGTCGGTTGTAATCGTAGCGAGCATATTTAAGCAGCCGGATACCCGATCCATTCCTAAATTTTATCACTATCAAAGTGAAATTGAGTGGAATTTGAATTAAAATATTGTCAAATTGTTATTATTCTAGAGGGTAAAAAAGAGAATGTTGATTACGTAATCAACAGCCACCCCCCCCCCCCCCTCCCGTAATCAACCGTAATCATTTGGAAACCCCCTCTACTCCCCCTCGGCTGATTACGTAATATATAAACGACCCCTTATAAACAAGAAGATATTTGATTCGACGATAGCTACATCATACCTGCAAGCAGGGGTGTAGGAAGCGGGGGGGCCATGCCCCCCCCCCCCCCCCCCCCCCCCCCCATGAAATCTGGACAAGGGGACAAGGGGCCAAAAAGGGCTAAACATTTTTGGGATAAATTTTCAAAGTTTTCTTGAAAACTACTTTTGTTCATGTTTCATGCTACCCTCATCATTCTGAGCCGAAAATATTTTTTTCGGTTTTCGAAGTCCGCACCTGCCACCTACCCTTCGATATACGAATTTGGACTCGAGGGTTCCCCTTTGTGATGCGATCTCGGAAGGCAGGCCTCCCCTTCGTAATACTGATATTTGGCCCACAGATTTGAAGGAAAATACGCGAATTTGGTCCTCCGATTTAAAGGAAAATGCGCAATTTGACGCAGGCGCAGAAAAAAAATCGCGATTTGTCGTGAGGCCAGGATCTGAAAAATCGTGACTTGTCGCGGCAAACGTGAAAAATCGCGATACCGCACATGCTGCAATTTTCTTTTGTCCTTACCCTCGTAATTCAGGCTTTGGTGCGAAGCGCCAAAAAATTTAGGCTGTGGCTCGAAGCGCCAAAAAACATTTAGAATTTGGCCCCCCCATGAAGAAAATCATTCCTACACCTGCACCCCTGCCTGCAAGGCTAAATACTAACTAAATAGTATATATACTATTTAGTAAGTATTTAGCTCTGTCAGTTCTGGAATTTAATGCTGTAGTCTTCTATCGTCCGATAGATATTCTAAAGGCACGGTCAGACATCATAAACTGTTATAGAAATTTTGAAATAGTTTAAATGGTAAACAGCAAACTCCGATACAAGAGTTTATCGATTTACGCAGAAAGTATTGGTGGCCGGACAACTGACGCACACTGTGGACCTTGCTTTACGTTTGGTGGTTATCAAAGCTCACATTTTCAGGCACAAATTTCTTGCAGACCGTTTAACAAAACGGTGGAGAAGTTTCCTTGAAAACTAATTTTAGGATTACTTGTCATACGGCGATAAAAAATGCTCTACTAGGGAGGGGGTTGGCAATGGCATAAAACGGAGAATTACCCAAGGGTTTTTCCATTTTCTCCATAGAAAAAGTCTCCATTTTATGCCATTTAAAAACTTAAAAATGTAAAAAACGTAATTTTTTACAAAATTTTTGACCTTAAAGAGTTATTTAGGACGAAATAATTTAAATACAGTACTCATCTAGAATCTAAATATCATTTCGAACACAAAAAGACAATTTTTGCCCTTTTATCGTATTTCGACTGACCTTTCGAAATTGTAAAATAATTTTTTTCAAATATCATAATTTTGGTACTGAACGTTTTGCCTTTCAAAGCTGAAAACAATCCTGTAAAAATATTTCCGAGATTTTTTGTTGTTTCTTTCCCGATGTTTTCTATCCCGATTTCGAAGTCCCCACATCACCCTCGATATGCGATCTTGACGGTCAGGCCTCCCCTATGCAATACGAGCTCGGAAGCAGGTTTTCCTGGAAACCACTTTTCTGTACAGTTCGTGTTAGCCTGATCATAATAAGCCGAAAATATTTTTTGTTTTTTGAAGTGCCCACCTCACCCGATATACAATATTAAAATCGAGGCTTACCCTTTGTAATGCGATCTCGGACGGCAGGCCTCCCCAGTCCCCAAGCAGTCAGCACCTTCTTAACTACTTACTATAGCCGGCGCGGATATCCGATCCATTTCTATTTTCTAAACTGTATCACTATCAGAGTGAAATTGAGTGAAATTTTAATTGCAAAATAGTCAAATTGATCTTGGCCTCTAGTAGCCTGGTATGTGTCTTTAGTAGCCTGTTATGAGCCTCAATTAGCTTGGTATGAGCTTTGAGTAGTCTGGTATGCGAAAAATGGCATGCCTACTGACATTTAAAATTTATCATGTTTATTGATAGAAAAACACAAATTTATTTAAAAGCATCCTAAATTCTATCAGTGAAATTGGAAACTAAAGACATTTTAGATAGAATCCTACCCCAATTTGGCTAGAGAAAGTGCGACGATAAGTTAATAGCCGTTATTTTAGTACTTGATATTGTCATATCTTTAATTCCACTAACGTATTCCTGAAAGCTTACTTTTTTCAGGTGAGTTTAACTCCTTGATAGCGTACAATGAAGAGACGAAAGAAGAAGAAAAAGCGGACGAGAAGAAAGAAGAATAGTATATCAAGTCCCGAGGACTGTAAAAACGGGCTTCATAAATCATACCTTGATTTCAGAAAATTTCAGTCCTCCTTCACTACCAATAATTTGCAATTAATTAATCGTTTCTAGCCCTGAGTATGATTTGTATAAACGGATAATAAGGGGACATTTTTGACATCAAAATGGGAACCGCTTTTCGCTAAATCAGAAAATCGAATTTTTAACGGGAATTTATTCAGAAATAATGACCTATAAAAATACCTGTGTAAGTGACATCTTTGATTTCAATCACCTCCCCTTATATTCTTAATCAAAGTTATTACTATATTATATGCAAATTTAGTAAAATAAATATTCATGTGGACAAATTTGCTTTTTTTTTCCGATTTCGCAGCTAAATTTAGTTATTTGTCAATTTTATGGGTCACTTTCTCTTATATTTTAAAGATAATGATATTTAGGGCCTGGTATTTTAACGGCGGCACTTAGCTGACTGTTTTATAGTAGTTGTAACGAAGTGTGCTTATTATATAACGTGTTGGTTTATGACGGACAGCAGCGGTGTTTCTTGTAGGATATTTTACTATACAAAATGTGAAGAAAAGGCATGTTAATAGTCACAATCGTTATGTCAGGGATTTGCTGACCAGTTAAGTCTAACAGACTAAAAATGTAATCATTAGTGGGTAGTCTGCAAGGCTCCTTCCACCTTTTAATAGCTTTTAGAAAGCGGTGCTCCAAAATTCGCGCTATTTTAATGACGTTGCTACGAGACAAACTCTATTATTGAGGGTTTTTATACGAGCCCCCTGGTGGTCGTATCTTCTTGCCGATAGGATCAGTAATTCCAGGCCCTGGCACTACAGTGCTGCCATTAAATTAATTCTTTAATCATATTAATCTGCATTCCTGATCAGCTATTCCTGATCAGCTACTCCTGGCATTTAGTGATTTACAGTTCAGGTATTCATGCTGGGTAGTGATCCCTATCCTTGACTCTCAGTTCAGAGTTTCTTCTTCGTGTAGTATTTCGGTGTAGTAATTTTGTTATATTAATAACTGAATGGTAGCCAAGTGCCGACTAGTTGAGAATGTTATACAGAGTTAAGGCTTTTCGGCTCAAGAGAAGGATCCGTTGCCATGGGAACAGTAGCTGTGACGTCACCAAAACAATGCTTATTATGTGCCCTGCAAACAGTCTACTATAGTACTAAGGGTCTACAATCACGAGAGTTTGACATTTGGAAAAATTGAATTGAATCGAGTTGCAGTAATCTAGTTTTTAAAAAGTTTAATCCTTTTACCCACAATTCGATTTTGATCACGATATATTTTAACCGAATGTTAACAACTGTATAGCCCTGGTGGTTTTAAGTTATTTTTAGCACATAATTTCACTGGGACATGTCTAAATTGCAGTCTGTGTTAAGTTTAATAACTTATTTCTCAACTTTTGTTATTATTGTTCAGCAAAATTCTTTTGTCTTTAATTTCTAGAGAATAAAAGAGAATGACAAGAGGCTGAGTCAGATCGAATTCTTTGGCCAGCAGATCCTAGCCGCAAGTGCATCGTTTGACAGATTAGCCGACCTACTCCAAAAGTTATCCCAAATTTTGTCAGGTTGATAACCTTAGTTTTAGACTAGTGCCAAATACCACCATAAACCCAGAACATCTCTCCTTAATTTGGTTCGACATAGGACACAGACTGCCCACCAGAATTCGTGTCAAATACGGCATTTGGGGTAAAATAAAATGTAAGATATTACCAAAATGTCTCCGTAATTTTATTAGTTAATAACCCTAATAACAGTAATAAGTTGCGATCGTCAAGGGTGTCAATTCTTGGTCCATCTAACAGACTCTGGATGTCTGAACACGTTGGAAAGTAGCGAGAGTAAACGTGCACCGGCCCTCCGTCTGAGCATTAAATTTAATAAAACTTAATCATTAACTTAATAAATTAGAGTGGAGCCCTTGTTTCAACACGTTTCTGAGATATGACAGGGGCTTGTTAGTTTTTCCGCTACGATTTGCGGTCATGTCGTTTATCGATTGTTGATTTCAGAAGTTCGAATAATATCTTGAAGTACTCCCAGCCCCTCCCGCATAAACCCACAGGCACAAACAATTTGATTTGCAAAGTTGCAAGGTTAGACTTAGACTCAGATCTGATACACTTACAGAAGCTTAAACTATCTTCTAACCAATTGTCCTTGTCATGCTCATGAGATCATGATTTAATTATACCCAGTATGTACATGTGACCAATTTAACCTGGGTTCTGACGGACGCGACGTCAAATCAGGGGCCACCACCATCGGCGATTCGGCATCAGCCGCCCTACTCACCCCTAGTCTACTACATGGCCATTTTTACATGACCCTGATTTGTTCTTATATTTATAGAATTGGGGACGACTCCTGGTCTTCTGTAAACCAACTGAGTGTTACCGCCAATGGGTTGGGTTGAAATAAATTTGATCATCATCCAGGCTGGGTTTTTTGAACATTCTTAAAGCCTACTGTCATCGTTTCATTAGAAGAGTACTTCCATATTTGGATTATTTTATCGGAATCTAGAATCTAAAAATGTCAATGCAATTTAACTGACAACAATTTAGTAGCTGTAATTGTTAAGATTGAAGTGAGAGAGCTTTTCTTGCAATATGGAGTTTCTGGGATTAAAACAGGAAAATCTGTAAACTACGAATGCAATCTTTTTAACACTATATTTGGAGAAATCCTGAATTAGGTCCATAAATCTATACTTAGCGGAAATAATTGGATTGCTATTGATCTTTCTCCTATTATAGGAGTCCGAATAAAATACTATGTTATGCTAATCTAAGAATAGATTTACTCATTTAGCTGGTCAATAGGGTAATCAAACTTATCATCTATAATGACGAATCACTTATATTCAAAATAAGAAAATGATCGCTAACCATTTCATCGACCGCAATAATTGATTCTCATATTATTATTATTATTAACATATAATTGGAGATAAGTATAACCTTAACTATAATGACAAATAAATATGAATGAAACTATTAGATCTAACAAACTATTGACTAGTGACCCGTCACCACGTCAGCAAACAAATTGATAAATTTCCAAGAAATTATTATCATCGTATTATATTTATATAATGATAAGATTAAGATCATGACCGTAAATTTTTTACAACTGGGCCGGAAAACGTGCCTAGTTTAATTGTTTAAAATTGTACTTTTATCTTTATCTAAATTGCAATTGCTATACAATAGTACAATAGCGAATTTGTCTCTATATACTAAGATTCGTTGCATGCAAGATCAGGACCAAACATTACACATACTCATAGATCCACAAATATTTTTATTTTAACACGAATATCAATTTCTTTTTTTGTACGAGGCGTTCCAATTCTCGAGAATTTTAAAAAGTTTCCGGCTGCTGTGATCAGGTGACCAAAATGTCCGGGCTCTTAACTTCACGCTGGTTTTAGACTTTTCAGGTGCTAGAGTTGGATTTCCATTATAATTTAAGATTTGTCGCAGAATTAACTACAACCTTAATGGTGCCTTGGTCGTTTTGAGTACTACACCAAATAGACGGTGGGATTCGATTTGGTTCAGATTTAAATTCGATTCTTATTAGGACATGCCCGATACGAAGCCTCGGTCGAGTTTGGAAGTAGGTAGCCCCGTTAATTACAAGTTAGTCACGTGATTTACTTACCTCACCTCCCTTCCCAATTTAACTGCAGTTTCACGTCGTGTATTTCTCCCTTTGGTTATCCTAATCCAGTTCTGCACGTTTTCTGTGACACATATTGATTTTCGGGCCTTTTAGTTTTCAATTTGGCTTTGAGTTGAAACTTGATTTCGTTTACGATGCAGTGATGCAAGTAACTTTTGATCTTCCGACCGATCATTGAACCATAAATAAAAGAGTGTTTACGTTTTTAAAGTGGGCAGAAAACTTTAAATTTCGATTTATCTCTTGGTAGAACCTGTTTTAGAGTTGAACATGTAATTTGCCATTCAGCAGTTTAAAGTAATACGTCGGTTTCGTAAATGGCAAGGAATAAGGATGTGGCCCAAAGCCGAGAAAGTTCAAATTACAATTTGTCGAACAAATAAAATTTCCATACCACACCAGCATATTTCCATTTCACGTGAAAATTATCGACAAACTGTCTTACAATCAACCATGCTGGTGAATGGGTGCCGTTGGAATGGCCCGTTGATTCAATCCATCCCTCAACAGTTGTCAGAACAAAAATATGAATCTGAGCCCTTTCCAGAGCTTATCAACTTATTTAGAATAATTTAAATAAAATTGTAGTACATATTCGGGCTATAATTTCTACACATGAGTAAGTAATGAGTATCTTTCTTCATTTTGTTCTTCCAGGGCTTTTCGCGTGAACATTCTTTTTATAGATGTGGTTGCAAATGTGATGGAGCTTTCAAGTAGGCTCAACTATGTAATTGTCGCGTCGGCAAAGCGAATTCTTAGTTTTACGCAACCATGATTTACTGAATAATTTCAAGTCTACGTGACTTGAGAGTTGAGACTACAGTGCATTGTATGAGTATCTTTTCAAGTTTTCACGATATACTCGTACTCGTAGTTGTAGAGCTCTCGAATTACAGTTAAGTAACAAGTACTGTTAATTCAGGCGACCCTGACAGAAATAGGACCGTCCGACGCCCAACTCAGAGTTAATGTCTACTCCCACGTCGCTGCACTTGATCTCTAATCATACTCATTCAGCGGAGCACCTATGCATGAAAGGAGCCCGGAAATCATCTATGTCATGTGCCTTCAATCAGGATCGTTTTAAGATCAGGAGAAGGTTGTAACGTCCCAGTGAAGACGAGAGTGTGAACTGTAATTTGCATCATTGGCGGAGCATGTGTGACGTCACGTGGGGTTAATGAATTAAACGCGTGCGCGCGGCTCATGGAGACGTGGGGCGTCCTTCTGTCTCCGTTTATTTAGTAGTTATTGTATAACCAGTCGATAATTTAGTCTGCCCAGGTGTCCTCTTTTCTAGCCTCTGTGGGCTGCTAAAGTTTTAGCCATAATTTGAGTACTCTGAGTGTATTGAGTGTGACGTGTGTCGCAGATTGCCTGAATTCATGACACCTTTTTTGAGGTGGTTTACAGTAAAACTAGTTTTTTTTAACAGTTTCCAGTCGATCGTGGTCTGATTTATCGACCGAACGTTTCTGCCCAAAATTTTTACGAGAAATATGCCGTTCAGTTTGCCAGCTGTGCCTCAGCGTTTTTCTAACAATGATGTATTACTATTTATACCTGAAGCTAAATGAATGATATGATGTATATTCGTCACTTTCTTCAGGATGCAATTAAAGTTATGCATGATTGCACCTCTTTACTGTCTCGATTAAGTCTATCTAAAGGATTAAGATTGTGCAATATGATATGGATTATAGCAAAGCCCGTGGGCAGACCTGGCCCGCAATACCTCTAGTCTGAAACTTTATAACATGCTCTATTTCGACTGTTTTACACACATAAAAACTAATTATTCATCTTAAGTAGCAAAGTCTGTCAGACTGAAAGTGTAGGTCAAAATCCCGAAAGGCACAAGTCACGACGAATATATTCGTCAATGGATGTAAAGCCTCACTTCTTCACTGAAGTCATTTTTTGATTTATCCACACACATGACACCGGCCGCTTAGCAAAAATCAAAGCAATCAGGAAAGCTGATCTGAACATAGTAATTATACCAAAAGTAATGACAATGTATGAATTTAAGTTAGTTTTTTTACTCTTTTCAGATCACATGATGATTTTAATGGGCGGATAATCTGTATGTGACTGGCACTATTTCTATTTGTTATCCTAGAAGACTTATACATAATTCTACAGTCGAGTTTTAAGAATTTCTCAGAGCTACGAATATTCTTAGTTGTTACCAGCCTTTTAAAACTAATGTACAGGTGTGAGAGACCACGTGTTAACAGTTTGAAATTCATTAACACTTTTTAGGAATTGTTGTACATCACCTACTTACCTTCACCACCTACTACACCTGTATTACCTATATTACCCATTGTGACCGATCAAAAAGCGAAGCTGCCAGTGTCGTTAACTTACTGAATTGTGGCCAAACGTTCCTGTCGAATCATTAATTGGTCTCTGTAATTGTGCATGGTATTTAGGATTGTATGCTCGCATTTTTTCGACATCTAGTGCTATTTGCTTTACCCCTACATAAGGGAGGCAGTGGCTTGTTTAGCAGAGCCGCCCAGCCATCCCATGCGTCAGCACCACCTAACATGTGTGTTTCCGCGTGCCGATGAAGAGTGCAACAAAGAATCACATCAATAAACACAGCTAATAAACACTACGTAGTAGTCTATCGGCCTCTTATCAGCCTTCTCCTTCTCTCCTTCACAAGGAGCCAGGCCAGTTAGGTGCCCATTATATCCCAGCGCTGATCGCGATAGTGTCACCGTGTCACCGTGTTATACCGTTACAACTTTCAAGTGTCAAGCACTCTAGTAGAACACTTGTGATATTTAGCAATTGATTACTGTCCCCGGCCGGCCCGCCGTCCTAATATGTCGCATTAAGACCGAGACTTGAAAATTAGGCAAAGCTGCCTGCAATCTCCATCATAACTACCTTATTCACTATATAAGTGAGCAAGGAAGAGAAATTAGGCCGATTTGCAAGTTCACATTATTCGTATTTTAACAGACCTCAGTAGTAGACGGCATTCGTTTCCACACCATGAATTACCAATTATTAAATATTTAGGGAGCAAACCCAAAACACACCTAGCTGTGCTCTTCCAAATACTTCGCATTAAAATCTCAAATACCTCAGTGCGATGTTTGGACATTATAAGGATATAATCCTCCTATCCCTCAGTGTGCCGGATACATCAACATCATCATAAACAATAATTTACAGTGTGTGTGACCTTCTTCTTTCGCTTAAACTTTAAAAGCACCTCCTCGGCTCCTCCGAGTCACATATGTCTCCTGCCTATTATAATTAGATAACCCAAGAGATGAGATATCGGTCATTTCATGCTATCAAGTACTCAAGTACCCGGTATAATTAATGGATCCCTAACTATGCAAGTCTCCCCTCCTTAGGTCTGATAAAATGACATGGACAGGGAATGGAATCCTGAAGCGTTGGCCGAGTCCTAACGATTCCGCACCGCTTTAATTACAAGGTATGTAGCTGTTGAAGGGTTAATTACTTTTCGCTGCAAGTAATTATTTTATCAGTTTTAGCTTCCCCACTTATTTGATATCTTTTCTTACTTTAAGCGTTGTATATTTTCGGTTTTTTTCAAGGATCTACTTTTGTTTTAACACTTTTTGTACCCGTTTTTATGTTTTCTTTCATCACTTCTACTCCTCATCCCGTCCAATTCATGGCCAGTAAGAATCTCCTATTCTTCAAAGTACTATGTGCCACCATTTTAAGAATTTCGGAGTTGTTTTAGAATACATGAGCCGTCAAAAATACCTACTTCTAAAAAGTTGCTTAAACTACTGTAATGAAGTTTTTTGACAAAGTTAAAAATTTTTCGTATCATATATTAAATCTGTTTTTTATTCTTTGTGGCCTGAAATAACTTTTGAGTGTCTGATCTCTCCTCACCATCCCGCTATTCGTTAAGCTGGCACATTTTATGTGCGCACACACAAAATATTAGCAACAAAAAATGTTTCAAGTCTACACGCTAAACGAGTAGAGTAGTAAATATTCGTACCCTTTCTAATTTTTTCCTGAAGAGGACCTCCAGTGTCCAACCCGGCTCAGTGACACGTGCAAATTTGATGTGGCCAGTGGCCTATAACAAGGAAACATACTCCATCACCTGATTAACGCAACAATTGTTGCCTCCTTCACTCTAACCTGTGATAATATGCGAATAAAATGTGCACTAATTTAGGTGATTGTTCAGGAAGCGGTGTTTGCAATTTCGCACCAACCCTAGACTCTAATTAGAAAGGCTCAAAATGTAACATTAATGCAATGCTGTACTTTGTAGTTGATGATTACATATCAATGGCTCTTTTCGGTCGGGAACCTGCCGATTTAATTTCGATTGTTCTGCAAATGATAGCTCGCATTACCGTAGAGCAGAAGAAACGTATTAAGATCAGTTAGTTGGCCACCATATTTTACTGTGAATTCCGATTGTTAACGATTGAATGTGTGGCTGGACCCACGGGTGCACTGTAAAACTGTTCTAATTCTAGGATTCAGTGTCCCGTTGATCTAGTTTGCTGGATTGTGCAATGTGCAGTTGGGTCTTCAGAGCATGAACTGAACACTAACTTTTGATACAGGGTTTCTGTGGTGAACTCTATCTTTAGACCTGAGTTTTATTTATTCAAATCTTCTAAGTACAAGGCTGGTTTGTCTGGGGTGAACTATCAATATAACAGAACTGAGCTTTACAAGGAGTCTTACATCTTAACATTAATCCCAGTGCGAGGAATTTATCATGTAGACTGTATATGTCATGCAATGTCTGTTATCGGAGAGCCACTATTCTCAGAGGTTTCTGCAGATACAATCAGTGATAGTATTTTCGTAATTTTAAATTGAATTATTATTATTCTATAACTATAAGGCTACGTAGTTTTATGTAGTAAATTTAAGCAGCTCAATATCTATAGTTTCAGATGGATACATAGACGTTTCATAAAGCATATTGAGAGCAACATCCCGCCTTAGCTTTGGTATCACTTAATCTTGATCCGTTTCTTGAGTATTATTTTAATAGGATTATTAATCAAATAGTCCTATCAGCGAAGTGACATCATCCATTATTCCTGATATCATCGCCGTAGCTTTTTTGGGGGTCCCGTATCGATCTGGACTCTGACTGATCATATTGGGACACTTTCAGACCACGTTTCGACAAATTAATTTTGTTAATGTACGGGACCGCACATCTTGTCGACCTTATAGTGATCCAATTCTTTAATCTGATATAAGTCAAAAAGTTGTCTGCTTCCTCATGTCAATAGTGTCACGTTGATACAATACAGTTTTGTCTCCGAATTTGCTAGACGTCACACCGCGACCATAATCCCCGGCACGTTTCCTCGTCCAGCACCGGATTTCATCATCAAAGTACCTGTCAATCCTAATCCTGATATCTGGAGTTGACCTCACTGCACAGAAATTAAACTGATCCAGTCAAAGATTTGACTAGCTCCCAGCCCTACAACGGACATCAAGAGTCTGATCGCTGTAAGTTTATAAAATCCCAGCCAATTGTCAACTCTGGAGGAGTCCTTGCAAATAAATTTCGATATTTTAGGTCTCGAAAGGACGGTCGGCACAGTACTTGAGTTTATTATGTAAGGGAGTTTTCTTATCGTCACCTAGGCTCTCTCCGGTGTGCTGAATGTTTGAACAGGTCTGGATCTTGCCAGAGCGATCGATTCTTAGCTTGAAATATCCCGCCTTACGTGATATTGGTCATAAGTGTAGCCTAGATGAATATCAGACTGCTTAGACTGTAAATATTTAATTAGTAAGGTTGTCTGACTGCTTGAAGACGAATTTTTGTCCCTCGTAAATTGGTCAAATTTTGTCTATAGTTTGACGTATCACTGTAGTAGATCATTGTTGGAACTTACCGGGTCCTTGTTCGAAGCTCCGGGTCATACATCTTCGTTTTACAGGGTTTTGCAAGGTAGAAACAACCTATGCAACCACAAGCGTCTATCTTAACAATAGCATCTTTTAATTTCTGATTAGGTTCCTGGGACACCGACTTAATCCCCTGGGAAGTTGATCAGATACAATGTTTCCAAAAGGGACAACCTCTATCAACTGATCCAATTCAACACCGCAAGTACATGTCATGCGCTCTTAGCCCGAGGGCTTGGAGAATTTCATTGTAAATATGAGGAATGTACATTGAGATAGTGTTTACAGTCACACACCCATATATTGCCAAATTATTGTAAGGAATAATTCTTAATTCACTGATTTTTGGAAATGCGTGGTCCGTTAGTTTCAAACGATGCATGCGCGGTTTATTTGTCCAGTTAGCATCGCTCTATCGCCCGAGGTTTAGCTTATTGGTCTAGTTTTAAAATACATTGTAGCGAAATACGTGTATTTGTTTTCGTATTGATATTGAAAAATCGCATTTTTGAAGTATATTTAAAATTTAGGAATGCAAGTGTATTTTACAAATTACAATTATCCAGCGAGCCTCATCTCTATCATGGTACGAGGTTAACTATATTTGTATCTTTCCTGTCTTGTTATGTGGTATTGACTAAGTCTATATTATGGGATAAATGCGGAGTTATTCGTGACAGGTGTTTCAATGTCCCGCCCACTAGTACCGTGTGTGGGTTTTGTGAGGTAAATGTAATATCATTTTATTGACACTCCTATTTGTATAATAGGAGCTGTAACGTATTTATAGCCTGCTCAGACTTTTTCTATTCAGTTCCGCCAATTTGTGGAGTTTTGGTCGACTAATTTTGGTCGCGGCGTCATGGAAGCTATACCATTATCAGGCTTATACTTGTGATACTTAAAGTTAAAATGTTTTTGGTACTTTTGTGTTATTTTTATTATAGTTTTTCTTGCCGCCATGTTGAAGGGATTTTGAGAATTTTTATCTAATTACCCTATCATGGCTATATTTATGGTGTCCCTGGTTCTCGTTAACCCAAGCATTTGGTACCTAGAATGATGCAATTCTCAGGGCTTGCGTCTTCTTTTATCCCTTTTCCTTTTAGTTTTACCGCAAATAATTAATTGTTTTGTCTACTTGAAGTTAAAACCTGCTTCGTTAACACGTGCTTTAATGTGGCTTTCTCACGTCCGTATAGCGTAACCTCTTTGCGAGCACCGAATTGACTTGTTACCAATTAATCACCAGCCAGTCTCTACGCAGGTGAAACCGCAACAAGGGTCCCCATATTTCTTTCGGACCTGTCGGTTAATGTTATATGAAAACAGCAGGAACTTGCATTAGTGGCAACTCTGCTAGAAGTTACCAATGAAAAGTGTTCCCAATTGCAAGGACTAACAGTCTGAAAACGGGTTTAATCGCGACACACAAAGTACAGACGTAATATATATCCTACTGAGTCATACGATTTATACAGTCGACAATTGCAAGGCAGATCGTCGAAACATTTCAGCTTTTACTAGATTCTAACAAGATTTTCCTAATTCAGCTCTGTCCCGACGATCTGTTTCAAGCTCATTGGTTTAACGTCTCCGTTTTAGAAGGTCTTTTACCTGGAACCTTATCAATTATCGATATTAGCATTTCTGTGGAACGGATGTTTAAGAATTGATTAGTTAATGTCGAAACTTTGAAATTCTTTATCAGACTGAAAATCATCATGCTGTTATTTTCCCGTGTATCCGTTTTCTCACAATTGCCTTGAAATCAAGGAATTGACAGATGAACATATGTAAAAGTTGTAACTCACCTACAAAAAATCATTGATCTTAATCACTACCTATATTATGATAATCCATTTACGGAGATTTTTCCAAAAAGCACTTGATCATGATGTATAAGTTTTATACACATTACACAGTCTGTAGTCTTCTGGAGGCAGACCTCGATGCTATTCTGGGAGACATACCTCGATGCATTGGTATTTTTGTAATCTAAGGAATTTGGTGATGACGATTACAAAAAGAATCCATGAACGACTAAATATGAATTATGATACGTTAATGTGAGTTTATGTCTGATCGTTTAATGTACGATATAAAGCTATGATCATGGGATATACTTATAATGACCTGTCTTACCAATTCAAATTAGCGCATGCTTTTCGCGATTTCATTCTCGCTTCGCACTAAGGATCCTAAGCAATCGCGCTTGATTGGATCATATTAAGAATTTTAATGATTAAATTAGATTAATGCTCTCCGCAATCCAGTGAAAATTGAATTCTGTAGTGTTCCATTATATCTTACGTCCGCGACACGGGATGCTATTGCAAAATTGGCGGAAACTTGATATCTTTAATCCACGTTTATCTCAATCAAAATTTCCGATACCTATATGAAGTTCGACCTAATCCAGCACTTTATGAGTCTGATGAGCTGGTCGTGAGTGGTTCAGGTGGAAGGTAGAGGGAGGGAGGCGGTTGTCTCGTACAGATCGTGTTCGTGTCTGGTGCTTTGAACCGGGTTTTATAACCACAAGTTAACTAC